TGTGTGTGTGTGTGTGTGTGTGTGTGTGAGAGAGAGGGGTGGAGAGAGAGACAGTATGTGTGCGTGCTCAGGACAATGACTTGAAAGAAATTCAGGGATTTACCTATACATGTTAATCAATTAAATTTCTAACTGATTAAAGATTTAACAGCATCTTAGGTTTGTTTAATACATCCCCATCAGTTGTGTACCCTTTGATCTTTTACTTATAAATTCTGTGTTCTGTGTGTTTCTTTCTCACTTCACCTGATGAAGGAGCTACACTCTGAAAGCTTGTGTTTTCAAATAAACCTATTGGACTATAACCTGGTGTCGTGTGATTTCTGACCTAAATGTGGTGGCAGCAATGGCTAGGATTCTGTCAGGAGACTGATGGAGAATCACTGGAAAGATATGTCAAATCCGGTGGGGAGTGGAGGTGATCAGTGATCTGACAGATTCAAGTACTTTTCAGGCACTTAAATAGTCATTATAAGTTCTTCCTTGAAGTTGAGGTCCCCTGCAGCAACTCCTCATGTTGCCAGCACCAGAAAGATTAGTGGTAACCTGTGGTAATGCACACACCAGAGACCTAAGATCATCCAGATCTTGCAGTGGAGTTGGGGGTTTTTGAGACAAGGGTAGAGCGAACACTTTGACAGGTTTTGTTACCCTACCTGACTACGTGAGACCCCCACAGGTTTGCTGGCCAGCCTTTGGGAAGCAAAGGAAGGCCATGTGGCCCCCATTTATTCCCTGAGTCAGTACCAAATTGTGGTGGACTCAGAGATAATAGATGTCAGTTGGCCTATTAATGAGCCTAATCACCATCGCATCACTAACTGCCAGGAATGCCATGCCATCCCATCTACACTGCACAATTACCTGGGAAATGTCTCTTGTTACTGGACAACCAGTCATTTCTTGCGATTAAGTGTGCATGGGAACCATGTTTTCCACCACGAGGGAGTGCCATAACCCAGCCCAATAGAACTGTTCTTCAGAATTATGATATACTAAAGGGCTCCTGAACTGAATCCATTTATGTTGAGTTCAGGAATGGGAAAAAATCTGTCACATTGTTGAGTGTTTACTATGGACTCCCAAATATTAGGAAGGAAATTTCTAGGAAAATTTCAGGGAAATGTAAAAATAGAGCAGAATTACAGACAACTTAATTGCTCTAATATGGACTGGAGGGGATGGTACATCTGGAGTGAAGGGCATGGAAGATGAGAATTTCTAAAACATGAATCGGGAAACTTTCTTAATCAATGTATTTCCACTCCAGTGAAGAAAGATTAGCTGGATCTAGCACAGAGGATTGAAATAGGACGCATGCATACATTTCAGTGGCAAAACATTTGCACAATAGTGGCCATCATATAATTTTGGTCTTGAATAGATCCTAATGGTAATGGAGGTGGTTTACACCATTTCCAAAAAATGGACACTATTTGCATGATATAGATGGTTCTGTACGACAAACTGGGGTGGTGCGGTTTGAATGGTCTGTATCTCTGAGGTAGAAAAATAGCTGCTTCTTTCCTCAGCAAATATGATGAAAGTAAAACCAAACAATCTGTCAGAATTTGTTTGGGTAATGCTGTGCGATTGTGAGACTTTACATTATGAACTTAAAAGGAAAATAGTTGTTGAATAAGGATTGACTTAAAGAAAAAGCATTCTTGAAGACAGTGCTCTCAGCCGACAAATTCTTCAGGATACATGTGAACAATATGTATAAATTCTTATTCATTATTCAGAAAAGGCCAGAAAGGTTTCCAAATAATCCCTAAAAATGAAACACCAAGAGAGTAAGAAAAAAATGGGCTGTCAGGTAAATTACAATATTTGCTGCAATGTGACTATCCATGCATTTCGAAAATCTTTTGATGAGAAAATGGTTACATTTGAGAAATCCCTCTGAATGGGATGTGCTTTCTTACTTGGGCAAATTAATAGATCAGTTAGTTCCATTAGTCTGTGTTATTTATCAAGCTAATCTTGCTTTGAAATAATTTCACTTTCATTTTTAAGTATCCTGGTTTTCGAATTGGATGACATTATTCCGTCTTACTGTTATTATGTTTTGGAAGAGGAATAGAATTTATTGTGATTGATGATGAGGCTCGCTCTTTGGTACAAAAACACAGTGAGATTGTAATGACGCAAAATATGATCAAACATAAGTCCAGTTAAGTCAAAATCATCAGCCATCCTCACCAATAGAGTTGCAAATCCCAAAGCATGATGCCCCAGTAAGACAAGGTTCTGCACTCGTGACTCAGATTTAATGACACATTTGTAAGCTTGTCATCTTGCCTTGCTGAGCAATCAGTTAGACCCCACAAGAGCACAAAATGATGGAGTACTAGGCAAGCCAACATTTGGCAGTTACACAAGGTGAGTAACTTGGTAGAACATGACAGGGGACAGACCGATTCAAGGTAAGGTGCAGTGATGGTGCAGCAGTTACAGCAAAACAATAGCAGATTATTGTCTTCAAAATGTTTTATTGTCTTTCCTATGACCTGAGCTGGTCTGCACCAAGAGATGTGGCTGAAACAGGTCTGTTTTTACCATCTTTTGCCACATTGTTTTTTGATTGTTGAATGTGCAATATGTAATGCAGAACCAGAACAAGGGACGGGTCACTGGTATGATCTACACCAGCATCAGTGGTAATGGAAAGTAGCCATTTCTTGTGAGAGGAAAGTCCAGGAGCCACATTGCTTTGCAGATGTCAAGATAGTACTGATGCAGTACAATGCTAACAAAACCACTTGCGTGACCCTCAGCACCTTTAGGCCTGGATCAGGAAATTGGACCAAATATATTTAAACAAAAGGAGAGGAAGATTACTGTCATTACAGAGAACTGGTGCCCAGAGCATCAAGCTGCTGTCTTTGCTTCTCAACGTCATGGTCAAGTTTCAGCCAATGGATCGGAGGATTAGGAAACTGAAAGTTTTGATAGTAGCTGATTCCTCTGCTTATCAAAGCCATTGATACTAAGCAGAAGTAAAACCCAACTGTTCACGAGACAGAGTCAATTCCCAACATTTTTCAATGTATTTTACAAAGTCAGGCCACCTAAGGTGTGAACAATTGAATAAAGACAAATGTACTACTTTAATGTATTTGCATTGAGCTAAAGAGTGCACTTGTAGGCAGTTTGGGTCATTTAGGGCTGCTTTGCTATCTCGAAGATCTGTTTAATGTGAATTTGAGGGTGGATCCCTTGGAAGGTGATTCATTAGGACATTGCTTAATATCATTTTCCAAACAGGTCCCACAAGTAAAAGTACCTCCCCTGAACCACCTGGTGCAAACGGATGATGTGGAATTACATTGGATATATGGGAAGAGTTAATACAGTGTGGGGCTGGAGAAGCACAGCAGGTCAGGCAGTATCAGAGCTGCAGGAGAGTCGACATTTTGGGCCTGGACCCTTCATTAGGACTGGGGAGGGGAAGGGAGCTGGGAGATAAATAGAGGGAGGAGGGGTGGGGCAGGAGGAAGGTTGGTTAGGATGGCGATAGTGGATGCAGGTAGGGGTAGTGGGGATTGGTCAGTGGGAAGGATGGGGCGAATAGCTGGGGACGAAGATGGACAGGTCATGTCAGGTCAAGGAGGCGGGGATGAGTGGGAGGGTTGGACATGGGATGAGGCTGGGGGTGGGGAGATTTTGAAACTGGTGAATTCTATGTTCAGGCCATCTGGCTATAGGCTCCCGAGGCGGAATATGAGGTGGTGTTCCTCCAGTTTGCGTGTGGCGTCATTGTGATACTGGAGGAGGCCCAGGGTGGACATGTCACCCAGGGAGTGGGAGGGGGAGTTAAAATGGTTATTGACCGGAAGGTGTGGTTGATTATAACGTACAGGGAGCAGGTGCTCTGCAAATCAGTCACTGAGTCTACGCTTGGTCTCAACGATGTAGAGGAGGCCGCGTCAGGAGCAACAGATATAGTAGACCAAGTTGGAGGATGTACAGGTGAACCTCTGTTGGATATTGAAAGTTTGTCTTGGGCCTCAGATGGAGGTGAAACGGGGGGTGTAGGAGCAGGTATAGCATCTCCTGCAACTGCCTCAAGACAAACTTTCCATATCTGACATATCACTCCCCATCTCCCTCCCTTGGTGATGTGTCCATCCCGCACATCCTCTAGTACCACAGTGATGCCACGTGCAAACTGGAGGAGGATGACCTCATATTCTGCCTCGGGAGCCTACAGCCCAGTGGTCTGAACACAGAATTCACCAGTTCACCAAATCTCCCCACCCCCCGGCCTCATCCCATGTCCAAACCTCCCTCTCATCCCCGCTTCCTTGACCTGACACTAACTGCCTATCTTCTTCCCCACCTATCTGCCCCACCCTTCCTACTGACCAATCCCCATGACCCCTACCTGCATCCACTTATCGCCATCCCACCTATCTTCCTCCTGCCCCACCCCCTCCTCCCTCTATTTACCTCCCAGCTCCCTTCCCCCTTCCCAGTCCTGATGAACGGTCCAGGCCCGAAACATCGACTCTCCTCCTCTTCTAATGCTGCCTGACCTGCTGTGTTCCTCCAGCCCCACACTGTATTGACTCTGGCTCCAGCATCTGCAGTTCTTGCTATCTCCGATTGGATTTATGGGAAGCTTAACTGGGATCTTTAGCATTTCCTTTTATTGACAGAGCTGACTACACCAGAAATACCTTTTCTATATTTTGACTTCTTCTTTATGTGTGGCAAAGAGTAAACAAAATGTTTGCTTTTCTTAAAATTGTGATTAAATCATCAGAGGTAAATTGGAATGTCCAGTTTGGAGTTTTCCTTTAGAAGTATTGATTGTATTTCATTTCTGGAGTGACTGTGTACTACTGACCTGAAGAAATATGCAATTGAATACTACTGAGCAGCAAAGGCTCAGGAAGCAATCTATGACCACATGTGTACTGCACAGTGTGAAAAAGTAGATCAGTGAATCCTCTGAGCTAATATCTCATTTCTCTTTTTGTTTCCTTGTTTAGCATCCATTTTCTAGTTTTCCACACGGAGGCTGTTCATGATGTTCTGAAGGTTTGGGATGGGCCACTGGAGAGTGGCATTCTGCTGAGGGAGATGAGCGGCTCCACACTGCCTCCTGATATCCAGAGCACATTTAACTCCATCACACTGCAGTTTGACACAGACTTCTTCACAAGCAAACAGGGCTTCGCCATTCAGTTCACCAGTACGTGCCAATTTATTGATCTTGTCAGGACCATCACTGAACCCAATGACACTCCTGTTAGGGATAGTTGAAATATTGCCAGGAATGTTGTGCAAAATTTTCATCTGGACATGAAATTAATTTCCGTGGTCAGACAAACTGTAAATGGACTCTGAAGGGACCAGAGTTCGGAGTTGAAATGGTCTTTTATGTTAATTTTTTAAATATTATTATGTGGTTATTTTCGACACAGCCATTTAGAAAGCCTGTGTTTTGCTCTGAGGATTTCTTTGTTTTAAATCAGTTTCAAGGCACACTATTCCCATTTGAAAATAAAAGCCTGTTAATATTTGAATTAGAAACTTGAATTTTAAATATGTCTTTTTTATAGGCTGCAAATTATTCCTGATTGGATTTATGTTTTCTGTTTAATTCAGTAATCATAATAACCAGGTTGATTCAGATTAACTGCCTTCATTTCCTCATTTTATGAGAAGCAAGGAATTTACTTTTGCAGCCTTTAATAAAAAGGTCTGCTGACTCTTTGAAGCAGCATTGATTTGCAATTGCACAACTCATATTTTATTTAGTGTTTTGTAGTGTATGTTTTATATAACTTCAGATTATTTAGGTGTGTAAAAATTTGTTGCTGACACTTTGGACAGCCATTAACATTTGCTATCTAGTTTTCATTGGTATTTACAAATGTAGGAATGTGATGGCCACTTGGCCAATTAGAATGCACTCTTCCAAGTGGGAGCACCCTTCCCATTTTGGCAACCAACAGTAAGTGAAAGTTGGTGATAGGCCCACATCACTGATTTCCTCTCACAGTCCAAAGATGTGCAGGTTAGGTAGATTGGCCATGCTAGAAATTGACCTGTCGTGTGCAGGTTAGGTGGGTTAGCCATAGTAAAGAAAAATCTTCGTGTGGGGTTATAGGGATGGGGCGGGCGTGTGGGTCAGTGTTTGATTCTCTTCAGAGGGTCAGTGCAGACTCGATGGGCCAAATGGCCTCTTTCTGCACTGTAAGGATTCTATGAAATTCTTTGGGAGAGTATTAATTATCATTTAAAAAGATGTGTGGTCCCGTAGGACAGTCCACCCGTATTTATGAAAGGCAGTCATGTGAGATTAGCTAAGGGAATACATATATGGCTAGCTTTAAGTGTTTGTGGAGATAATGATGAGTACTGATAGGGTAGTGCATTTGATGTGCTCTACATCAATTTTTAGCAAGACTTTTCATAAACATGGCAGATTGACCAGAAATGTAAACAACCAAAGGATGCTAGAGAAAAGAGATAGTAGGAACTGCAGATGCTGGAGAATCCGAGACAACAAGGTGCAGGGCTGGATGAACACAGCAGGCCAAGCAGCATCATAGGAACAGAAAGGCTGACGTTTCGGGCCTAGACCCTTCATCAGAAAAGGGGGAGGGGAAGAGGGTTCTGAAATAAATAGGGAGAGAGTGGGAGGCGGATAGGAGATGGATAGAGGAGAGGATAGGTGGAGAGGAAACAAACAGGTCGAAGAGACGGGGATGGGGCCAGTAAAGGTGAGTGTAGGTGGGAAGTTAGGGAGGGGATAGGTCAGTCCAGGGAGGACGGACAGGTCAAGGGGGCGGGATGAGGTTAGTAGGGAGGAGATGGGGGGGCGGCTTGAGGTGGGAGGAGGGGATGGGTGGGAGGAAGAACAGGTTAGGGAGGCGGGGACGAGCTGGACTGGTTTTGGGATGCGGTAGGGGGAGGGGAGATTTTGAAGCTTGTGAAATCCATATTGATATCATTGGGCTGCAGGGTTCCCAAGTGGAATATGAGTTGCTGTTCCTGCAACCTTCGGGTGGCATCGTTGTGGCACTGCAGGAGGCCCAGGATGGACATGTCGTCTGAGGGATGGGAGGGGGAGTTGAAATGGTTCGCGACTGGGAGTTGCAGTTGTTTATTGCGAACCGAGCGTAGGTGTTCTGCAAAGCGGTCCCCGAGCCTCCGCTTGGTTTCCCCGATGTCGAGGAGGCCACACCGGATACAGCGGATGCAGTATACCACATTAGCAGATGTGCAGGTGAACATCTGCTTGATGTGGAAAGTTTTCTTGGGGCCTGGGATGGGGGTGAGGGAGGAGGTATGGGGGCAGGTGTAGCACTTCCTGTGGTTACAGGGAAAAGTGCCGGGTGTGGTGGGGCTGGAGGGGAGTGTGGAGCGGACAAGGGAGTCACGGAGAGAGTGGTCCCTCCAGAAAGCAGATAAGGGTGGGGAGGGAAAGATGTCTTTGGTGGTGGGGTCGGATTGCAGATGGCGGAAGTGTCGAAAGATGGTGCGTTGGATCCGGAGGTTGGTGGGGTGGTACGTGAGGACGAGGGGGATTCTTTTTTGATTCTTATTGCGTGGACGGGGTGTGAGGGATGAGTTGCGGGAGATGTGGGAGACACGGTTGAGGGCGTTCTCGACCACTGAGGGGGGGAAGTTACGGTCCTTGAAAAACGAGGACAACTGAGATGTACGGGAATGGAATGCCTCATCCTGGGAGCAGATGCGGCGCAGGCGAAGGAATTGCGAATAGGGGATAGCATTTTTGCAGGAAGGTGGGTGGGAGGAGGAGTATTCTAGGTAGCTGTGGGAGTCGGTGGGCCCACCCACGGCCTCCAACCTCATCGTTCCCCAACCTCACACTGCCCGTTTCTATCTCCTTCCCAAAATCCACAAACCTGAATGGCCTGGTCGACCCATTGTCTCCGCCTGCTCCTGCCCCACCGAACTGATCTCCAACTATCTGGACTCCATTTTCTCCCCCTTGGTCCAGGAACTCCCTACCTATGTCCGTGACACCACCCACTCCCTCCACCTCCTCCAGAACTTTCAATTCCCCGGTCCCCAACACCTCATCTTTACCATGGACGTCCAGTCCCTCTACACCTGCATTCCCCATGCAGATGGCCTAAGGGCCCTCCGCTTCTTCCTGTCCCGCAGGCCCGACCAGTGACCTCCACTGACACCCTCATCCACTTAGCCGAACTCGTCCTCACCCTCAACAATTTCTTTTTCAATTCCTCCCACTTCCTACAGACAAAGGGGGTCGCCATGTGTACCCGCATGGGCCCAAGCTATGCCTGCCTCTTTGTAGGTTACGTGGAACAATCCCTCTTCCGTACCTACACCGGCCCTAAACCCCACCTCTTCCTCCGTTACATTGATGACGGTATCAGCGCCGCCTCGTGCTCCCACGAGGAGCTCGAACAGTTCATCCACTTCACCAACACCTTCCACCCCAACCTTAAGTTTACCTGGACCATCTCTAATACCTCTCTCCCCTTTCTGCTCCTATGATGCTGCTTGGCCTGCTGTGTTCATCCAGCTCTACACCTTGTTATCTCGGATGCTAGAGAAAAGGCAAGTTGGATTTAAAATTGACTGTGTGTTAGGAACCAAAAAGAAATATTTCAATCATGGAATGTTGGCTGGAAGGTTGGAGTGCTACATGGTCCCTTACTTTTTCTTGTGATAGTCCTCAATGACTTAGACTTAAATGTTGGGACAGAATTAAAAAAGATGATCCAAAAATTGACCGTATGATTGATAATGAGAATGTAAGATCTGAACTGCAGAAAGCTATCAATGGACTGGTCAAATAGGTGGAAAAATTGCAAGCTGAATTTGATCCAGAGAAGCAGGAGGTAATGCATTTGAAAGGGCAAGCAATTGGGTTAGGGAAGGGAAGACACAGTCCAGGGGAGGACTCTGAGAAGAGTCAGGAACAGAATGACATTAGAATGCATGTTCACAGATCCCTGGAGGAATGGGACACGCGGATAAGATAGCTGACAAGACATACTGGAATACTTTCCTTTAACAGTTTCTACGTAGAATATAAGGATAGGATTGTTATACTAAAAAGTGTAACACATTGGTTAGGCCATAGATTGTTATGTATAGTTCTGTTCATGAATTACAGAAAACACGTGTTTGCACGAGAGTTGAGATAAGAACTTAAGGAGAAGATTGCTGACATTGGAGAATTTTAGCAATGAGTAATTATGGTACAGACTGAGGTCCTTTAAAGTAAAGGAGAGTGAGGGGAGATTTAGTTGAGCTGTGTAGCATTATGAAGGTTTAAATAGTGCTATATCCCTTAGCCAGAAAGGTCAATAACCAGCAGATATTGATTTAATGTAAATGGTAAAGGATTAGACGGAGTTGAGGAGAAGTGCTTTTCACTTGAAGAGTGTTGAGGGTCTGGAAAACTACATGTAAAAATGAGACAGAAACCCAGAAAGTCTACTCCATTTAAAAGCACCTAAATGTATACTTTAAACATATACAAGGCTACAGAATATGAACTGGAAATTGGGGTGGACGTAGATCATTATTTTTCATGGACGCAGTGGGCTGAATAGCTTCATTCATATCTTCTGAAATCCTCTGATTCTGTGGTTAGCTGATTAGTGTCTCTGTGAATTCTTGGATTGTTGACAGGCCCAAGGAAATATTAAGCTATAGGACAAACTATTGCTCCAGTAAGATTTTCAACACACAGTTTGCACTGCAGTCGGAGTTAATCCATTTGGTCTGCATGTGTTTTGCCTGTTGCAGATGCCTTGCATTCCTCACACTTTAAAGACCAGTTTTGGTTTATTGCTCCTCCTGTGCGGTACAAACATGAGTGTGTCCTTACTGTTCAACAACTGAGTCAAAGGTTTGAATTCAAGTCAAAAGCTGTGAAGTTCTCCTCTTTTCATTGTGGTGTTTCTGAAGCAGAGTTTCAATTTGTATGTAATTATTATTTTATTCAGTGTTTTGCAAGGCCTCACTGAAGAGCTGATAATTATGGTAATGACCTGGTGCTTGAGGAGGATAAGCTAATTCTGCAGAATCTGAATCTGGGAGTAGCAATAATTTAGTTTAAAAATTCAAATAGGAATATTAAGCTATTTGGTGCACTAGATTAGGACGTAATTACTTGCAATGTTTTATCAAACGCTTGCATTTGTCAGAATTATTTCAGGTGACACAATTATCGACATG